TATGCAGTTTTTGCTAGCTTCAGTCAGAGCCTTGCTATACCAATCTAACGGCTCTATATTTAACAGACAGATATTGGAGTAGTATCAATCTTCTCATCCAACTCCCAAAGCAAAAATGAATATTTCCAAGATTGTTAAATTATCCCTCTAAGAATTTCCATTATATGTTATCAAAACATTCTTATGAACTCCTATTCTTTTTCCAGCTGGTCCTTTGGTGTGCTGTTGTGGGAGATAGTGACACTGGGAGGAAATCCCTACCCAGGTATCGCTCCTGAACGCCTCTTTAACCTGCTGAAGACCGGCTACAGGATGGAGAGGCCAGAGAACTGCACGGAGGAAATGTGAGCTCCACTTTCTCTCCACGGAGTGCAATAAATCCCAACCGCCACATTAAGACAGAAAGTCATGGAAAATGACTGTTACGGAGGATTCAATGATCTCACTCACTGTAAAACGTTTTCCCTCTGCAGGTACAACCTCATGATTCGATGCTGGAAACAAGAACCAGAAAAGAGGCAGCATTTCTCAGACATCAGCAAAGAACTGGAAAAGATGATGGTGAAAAGTCGGGTATGGTGAAGCTATACAACACATTATGATAACTTATTCATATTGTTCCACAGGAAAGAAGCTATTAATCAGTCTGTTTCCAGGCTTTACTCGTGCAATTTTTCTTTCCACTCCTGTTGGAATTGCAGCTGGCCTACAGTTAGCAGTATAGCATTTCTGGTAAACATCGTGTACTGCTGTTTAGAGTTACACATATGTTTTGCGTTACCCACGATCTGTCACTCTTTGCAAACGCTGTAGATACCATAATTATAGTTTGAGGAGCACTGCTAAAATGTGGCCTTGGGCAGCATAATCACAGAGCATACCAGTCAGGCCCCTGATGTTGAGGTGAGCTAAATATAGAGCATTTATGGACGAGGGAATGCAGACATCCCAGAATACAACAGGCGGCTTCTTCCCTGTTATCATAGAGAGGCAGTGGGAGTGTCACTTGTAAAGAGTCGAAAGTATTTGCAGTGATCTCCACAGGCTCTTTGTCAGACGATGTCAAATATTTATTAACACACAATATATACAATCTATCCTATATAATATGACTAAGAAGGCAATGACACAAACTGATATACTGTGTATATATTGCTAGAAATTATAATTAAATATCATATAATTTACTCAAAACTTAACAAATCAGTCTCACATTTAAATGTATTTTTTTTTTAAATGTTTAGCTTTTGTAAAGTAAACTCCTACAAATCGTATTTGCACACACACAAAACACTGTGAACACAGTCTTTGTTTTAGCTCTGAACATTATTTGCTTCATTTTATATTAAACTAAATCCCCCAAAAATATATAGCTTTAGATATTATAAACCATTTTATAAAAATGGTGTGATTATAGTAGTCAGCTCTATAAATAATATATAGGACTATTTTTTGCAAACGGTCTAATGTATGGATAGCCATTTTTAAGGGTGACCCCTATACTTACATACAAATAAGATATATAAGAAATTGAAATTACCTATATAAAAGTAATAAAGGTTTAATATATACCTTTATGTATACAGGATTCCCTTTTTAAAAGTGTACCTTTTAACTTGGTCAAAACCCAAAGAAATGTTGTTTTAAAAACTGATCATCACAGATTTTTATTTTCATATTTCCATTAATGTCTAAACAGACATTAGTTTTCTTCCACTTGTGCGTCACTGCCCTGCATGTGACCTTTAGCACGGGCACTCTCAGACTTAGCGTGCAGTTTTTCCCCGCCTCAGTAATCAGCCTAATCACACCTTCATCTGCTCCTGGCAGGATTACCTGGACCTTGCGGCGTCCACGCCTGCCGACGCCCTGCTGTACGACGACGCGCTCTCTGAAGAGGACACTCCACTAGTGGACTGTAATAACGCCCCTCTCCCTCGCACCCTCCCCTCCACATGGATTGAAAACAAGCTCTATGGTAGAATCTCCCATGCATTTACTAGATTTTAGAAACAGGACACACAACACAAGCTCTCTTTTTTGGCAAGTTGTGATTGGCCTTTCCGTAGTCAAGTGTGCGTGACTGTGATCTAGGCATGCCTTTTTTGCTGATTAATGCTGACACATCTCCCATTTCATCGTAAATGAGAGGGCTCAGTGTAAAAAAGATCTTGTGTCTTGACTTTTTTTGTTTTACTTGGACCTGCTTCTAATGTAACACGAATGCTGACCAAAATGATGCTACATTTCTAAATATTGAACATACCATTACTTCTTATTTATATGGCACCACTCATACTCATGCTTAGTCTGCATTTTTATGAGTTCATTTTTCACACCATCACATTTCCATTGTCATCATTCCATTATGTGTTTGCATTGGTAGAAACAGTGTGCAACATTTGAAACAGGTCCTTGTCGAATCAATCACTCACTGTGTTTTTTAAATTCAAGATTGTCTTACATTTCCTGACTTTCTAATGTATATTAGCTGTTGATCTATAATGTTTCACAATGCTGAACAGAGGAACAGTAAGGCTTTTGAACGCAACTCTCAGGTGACGATAAAAAGTAAAGAACACATTGGATTTATTGTTCGTTTGCATTTTTGAACAGTTACAGGAAGGGGCATGAGCAACATTATAGCTAGATACATTTGTACCAACATTAGTAAAACACTTAATAAATAATAAATGACACTATATTTTGCTTTATGTACAGTAACCTATACAAAGCCATAACTTCAACGGGCTTTTTCCAGGCACTACAGAGTTTGATTTGAGAGCCTTACTGTCTGCACGCTGTTAATATTTCACTGAGTGCAGAAAAATGATATGTTCTCGTTTTTAGGCATGTCATACCCGAACTGGCCTGAGAAGAGCCCGGTACCCCTCAACAGACATGATGCCACTAATCCAGTCTTTACAAGATATGCCAATGATAGTGTTTATGCAAACTGGATGGCTTTGCCTTCACCCGCAAAAGCTGTGGACAAGCTCGATAGCTAAAAACAAACCAACACTGTAGAAAAGATGACTAATTGGTAGATGTGTATATTTCTATAAGACTGTACATATACAATCTGATGCTAAAGTTGGTTCCCTTTTATTTCTGTTGCACGGGGTATTCAACGTTTTAAAACTGGGGTCTTTTTTGCTGCAAAAGCGGCAGGATCAATGTAGACCACGCTTCATTCAGCTCCTCAGTATGTTAATTGTTACCTCACGGGTCATGTTGGCCATGTTGTATCACTGCATGACTATTGTACCAGATTGTATGCCAGTGTCAATGTCTTTTAAGTGCCTGTGCCGCTTCTACAATAGCCTCCAAATATTAATGTGCAACTGTGAAGATCTTGTTCCAGCCCAGGAATTAAAGGGGACGTCTTTACCATCACCTGCTGTAGACAGCTGGGATTGAGTGGACAAACAGCAAAATGCTGAACTTGTTCTGAAAATGTAAAGTTTCTACTTTAGAGGATTGTGCTCCTCAAATTGTCAAAGACCCATTTTGTGTTTCTCCCACAAGATGATTCAAAGCTGTTCTTGCCAAAGAGAAGTAACACAGACATGATCAGTGAGCAGTTTTCTTGCTTTTGTTCTTGTTATATATATTTTTTTTTTACATGAGAAATATCAACTAGTGAGTGCTACTCCAGTGTAAGGACCCAACACTTAATGTAGACCGTGACCATGTCCCATGTGAGACTACAGTTCACTATTGGATTCACTGTAATGGCAATCTTTGTGGAAAAAGTATGATTATGTAAACTAATGAGTGTTATCATTGTTATGTTGTTATTATTTGATTAAGTTCCAATTAATAATAAACGTTAAAAATGTTCAGTGTGGGTATTTTCCTCATGTCTCTAAAAATGGATAGTAAGCTTCTGTTTACTGATTACTTTAATGTTCATATTTTATCTTTACAATGTTCAAAATTATTTTGTTTTAACTTATGATTGGTGGTTCACATACATTTTAGTTTTTTTATACCATTATAAGGAGTCTTATATTACAATATAAGTTCCTAGTGTACTTTGGGCAGGATTTTATTTCTAAATAATGTTTAATTTTGTGCAGTAGTTGCCTAGGAAACATTGGTCCATTGGAGCCATTTCTTGTTTGAATAATCAGTCTCTCTAAATTATGTTAACATTATGTGCCGCCTATTAATCACAACTGAGACTCAACTCTTGTTTTGGCTGTTAGAAACTATTTGTTTAGACAATCTGATGATGGTTTTAGTTTTTCAGGTTTTAGAGGTTTTAGATTTTTGTTTCAGTGTTATATGAGCTTACATTTCAATAGTTTGTTCACTTTATTGTTTATAACAAATGGTTATACCTAAGATAACGTTTTTAATTAAGGTTTCTTTGGTAGGCAAAATATAATGCATGTCACCCTATCTAAGTATTATACAAATAGATATGTGGACTGGTGACCTGTCCATGGTGGCTCAGTGATTTCCACATAATGTGTGCTACGATAAGCTCCAGACTCCTGCCACCCTTAATGATACTGATAATAAAGGAAATGAATGAATTACTTAAAATAGAACTCTATGGGAACATTTGATGGTTTGCGTTATGCATCACAGTGATAACAGATCCCATGTTTGGGACAACAAACAAGTGATATGTCTCCTCTTCATGGGTAATTCAATTCAGAGTTGTCAGCTAGTTTATCATCACAGATAAGGGGTTGGTTTGACAAGTCAGGACAGAGAAATACAAAAGAGGACGAAAACAGCAACATAAAACGAGCTTATTTTAAATGTATCTTGTAATTCATATTTATAAGAAATACAGTGTATTTGTGTTAATGTTCATAAACAAACGTGTAGCATAAAAAAGAATGAGTAATTATGATTGTAATTATAACGTTTTACTTGTGCATTATTATTGGTTATTATGATGAACAAGGGGCTTCAACGTGTTTAATGACGACACTCGAAACAAAGCTCTCATTGGTTAACTCTTGACCGGAAGTAAACTATGACCCACTCACTCTTTTCTCTTTGCTCCGTGGCATTTTGCAACAGAGGCTGTCTTCGGCTGCTGGTTTTCTACTAAGCCCAATGCTGTAGGGCAGCACGGGCAGGAATGGAAAAAGACGGAATTAGGTGAGTATTTTTTTTGTACCTTTCAATAACGGGTTAGCAGGCTCTAACAGATATAAAATAACCCGAAAGCGCAGGCAATCTCAGAACGTCGCTAAGCTAACTGGAGAACCGTGCCAATTTCCGGTTTCGATCTTTAAAAGTAAGAGCACACATTTTGCTGTGAAGTAACACTCTAAACTGTGTGATGATCAGGTACAAAACGACGTCAAATGTAAAATGTTTGCAGACTGCACATTAAGTTGCAGAATTTATCAACCAAGATAATAAAGTTGCCAAACATATTTAAACACACTGTAAAGTTCATAACATAATGTTTTTTTTCTCCAAGTGAAACACAATATTAATCACATCATTTAAATATCATGTAAGTGACTTATTGTTAACAAAACTCACTGCTCAAGTAGTTAACTTTAGTAACAACAGTTCAGATATGTCTCTATAATGTAGGAGTCCCTGTTGGTGTATGAATGTGTAGTCTCTATCAATGCACTGCCACAAGGTCTGTTCATATGATGCGTTTACACCATAACCTTGATGATATCAGTTTGACACTTTTCAGCCAGTCAAGTGTTGCATGCATTTTCATCCTTCTCATTGGCAGCTACGAGAAGGCAAAGCTAAGACACATTTAGGACATTTAGTTCCTCTTTTTTGAATGGTTAAAACCGTAATACTTGTGTCTATTTTAATATAAGATTGAATTAGATAGCCTACTATATTGAAAATATCTAAAGTCATTTTTCATATAAAAAATGTATTTTATGCTTTTGGGCGACACATTAGACTGCTGGATTTCTCTTAGGTGTGGCCTTACACTTGTTAAGAGAAAGTAGCACATACAAGTTGGACATAAAAGGGGAAGTGTTTTGAATACTTTCCCTTGCTTTCCTGTTAAGCTAAAAGGGTTTGATTCTACTGTAGCTTTTTTGAGATTAGAGCAATGGTTTCCAGCTCTTGCCTCTTGCCTTTTGGACTCAGGGGCCTGCTGCTTTTCATTAAAGCCATTCAGGAAAGACAATGAGTGTCGGGAAGACAAACAGCATCACTTTGTGTGCCAAGGGCTGGAGCTGTAGGCTTTAGTGTTTGACCTTCAAGACACAATTGTGTGTGGTATATGTGGTGGATAATAGAGGTTCTACAAGGCTACATACTTAGGATTAAAGAGTGTTCTTTTAAACAATATTTGTAGCATACTGCACATCACAAAACATTAAGAACATAATTGTGTTGTTATAAACATTTGGTAATCTTGTTAGATAATTTTCTTCCACAAGGAGCTTCTCAGTGTCCACGCTTTTAGTAGAAAATGTCATGCTGTTATTTTGAAAGGTAAGCCGGCTAACCGGAAGTCACTCTTCAGGAGCTTGCCGTGCAGCTCCCCCACCAGCTTTCCTCTGTTCTGTTATTTAGCTGAGAGCTAGTCGCCGTGTGCTAGATCTCAGGTGTGGCTAATTCCTTCTGCCTGTGTTTATTCAGCTCTGATTTATTATGATTGAATCGTTGAAAGGTGAAATATTCATAGAAGTCGGACACGTATAAACACGTTGTTTAAGAAAAGTGTTTTATTAATTGACTGAATTAGTCTACTACTGGCTGGATGGGTCATTCATAATGATGCTTGACTGGTAACACACTGTTGTGTTAGTGTCTCATTATTTGGTTATCATTCCCATTTCTTTCATTTCATTTATTTAAGTCCTCACAAATGGTAGGTCTGTATTGTTTTATAACTGTTGTATTATTGTGGATTTCTGTAATTCCTTTTTCTTCACCTAGGTGATCATCGCAGGGATTCACACAGGACAAATGTATGAAAAGTGGAGCCAAGAAACATCACCATCACAGAAAATGACATAGAGACCCCTCCAGACCTTCAAGGTGATGTGCAGAAGCACACAGTGAGTAATGTGATCAGAGGGGAAAGGGAATGCAGACTTGCCAGCTATAGCTTGTATGTGAGCGCGATGCCCAGGCGGGGGTTGTCGCTCCAGGGCCGGTTCCGCTGGCTCTTTCTGGGCCTCTTCCTGCTGCTGGTGCTGCTGCTGTTCGCCTACCTGCTGGAGTGCACCCCTCCCGCAGACGCCAGCCTGGCCCTGCCCCCCGGCATAGCAGGGGACACCTACGGGAAGGAGTACTACCAGGGCCTGCTGCAGGAGCAGGAGGAGCGCCACCTGAACCGGGCCGCCAGTCTCAAGCGGCAGATCGCTCAGCTCAAGCAGGAGCTGCAGGAAATGGGTGAGAAGCTAAAGCTCATGCAGGACAAGAAGGAGCCCCCCGGGGTGCAGGGCCTTACGGAGACAAAGGACCAAGAGCCTGGAGACCTGCTGGAGTACCTGCACTCTCAGATCGACAAGGCGGAGGTCAACACGGGGGCACGTCTCCCCAGCGAGTACGCCCTGGTGCCCTTTGAGAGTTTCACTTCATCCAAAGTGTACCAGCTGGAGATGGGGCTGACACGGCACCCAGAGGAGAAACCTGTCCGCAAAGACCGCAGGGACGAGCTGGTGGAGGTGATGGAGGCCGCGCTGGACATCATCAACAACCCCGACGAGGAGGATGGAGTGGAGGAAGACATGCCGATGCAGAGACAGACCTACACAGAGGGTCACTTTACTGAAGGTAAGATCTACGCTACCTTACTACGGACCAGTGAATGATCGCTGTTACTGTGTTCTCAGTGAATCTCTTTTTTATTATACAGGAATGTACAGGACGGAGCGAGACAAAGGGACGCTTTACGAGCTGTTCTTCGACAAAGAGGAGTCCAGCAGCTTCCGCCATGTCACGCTCTTCAGACCTTTTGGTCCCTTAATGAAAGTCAGGAGCACCTCCGTAGAGACATCAGCAATGATTATCAACATCATCGTGCCGCTGGCAGGCAGAGTAGATACTTTCTCACAGTTCTTGCACAACTTCAGGTGAGAGTACAGCAGAAACTCTGACAGACATGACCCAGCATGTTCATATCAAATTTGTATTCAGTAGACTCGCATCATTATTGTGCAATTAAACACAACCTTTGTGTTCTCTTTATTCGTTACATGGTATTTGTTTTTAGAGAGGTGTGCATACAGCAGGACAGAAGAGTCCATCTCACGGTGGTTTATTTCGGGCCAGAAGGCCTGCAGGAAGTGGAATCATCTTTGGAGAAAATGTCAAGGTGTGTCCTTTCACTGAGAAATAACTTAAGATGTGCTTTTGCTGGTTTTGGGATAGTAATGAGTGGTGGTAATTCAAATCTACTACATGTGTTGTGTTTCAGAGAGGAGAGCTTCTCAAATTACACCCTGGTCCCGGTGGACGAGGAGTTTTCCAGAGGTCGGGGTCTGGATATCGGGGCTCACGCCTGGAAGAAAGGCGACGTCTTAATGTTTTTTTGTGACGTTGACATCCATTTTACACTCCAGTTCCTGAACACCTGTCGTCTCCACGCTGCTCCAAGTAGGTCTTCATTTGTTATTGCTCAGATTGTATTTATAGTTATTTTGTTTACATGTAGAGTTACAATGTAGCTTTAATTGAATATACTAAATGACCTGTTTTGTTTTATAGATAAGAAAGTCTTCTATCCAGTAGTGTTCAGTCTGTACAATCCTGCCATCGTCTATGGAAATTCGGAGCTGGCTCCACCGGCTGAACTCCAACTGGTAAAGTCTTCACCTTGATCTCGAAATACATTTGTACAAAGCTTTTCAATGATCCCCTGTACACATGTTTTAGGCAGAATCAGGCTGGCTTCCATTATCATTTGCATCAGAAATGGATCTTCCAAAAAAAACATCTGAATACTTTGTCAAAGGTTCTTACAACTGCATCTACTTGTTTTCCCGAATTCAATCCAGAATCTCTGATTATGCAAACACAAAATCCTTAAAAAGAATTCTGGACAGAAGATGGGCTTCTAAACTACTTGTCATTCCACAAAATAATCTCATAAATCCACATCTTAACCTCACATTTAAAAGGGAGTTATTTTGCTCATTTTCAGGATGTTGGGTTTTGTTCTCAAACCTGTTTAAATGCTTTTTTTCAAACTCAGACTGAATAGACCTGCTCTGATTGGCTAGCAAGAAAAATCTGGCAAACTTTTGCAAAAACTGATATCCTTATGTAAATGCACACAGGCACTGAAAAGGGACGGGTTAGGGTTACAGAAAGTTTCCCCTCCTGCAGATGACGGTGAAAACCGCCCTCTAGTGTCCAACTCTGCTCAAAGAAAATCATTTTACAACATCATTGACATACATTTTTTTTCAATGAAACCAACTATGCAGAGAACTTGCGAAGTTTTTTTTAATACATTTTTTTATTTCAAATAGATTCACAAAAAAGATGCTGGATTCTGGAGAGACTTTGGCTTCGGAATGACGTGTCAGTATCGTTCAGATTTCCTAAATATTGGTAAGCATGGATTTGTGAATTCATCATGAGTCATGACTAAATAACTCGTAAAAGCTGCTGACTGATAACTTGAAACTGGATTGTATTCCTCCAGGCGGGTTTGATCTTGAAGTGAAAGGTTGGGGTGTGGAAGACGTCCACCTGTACAGGAAGTATCTCCGGAGCGAGCTCATCGTGATCCGGACCCCGGTGTCCGGGCTCTTCCACCTGTGGCACGAGAAGCAGTGTGCGGATGAGCTGACCCCAGAGCAGTACCGCATGTGCATCCAATCCAAAGCCATGAACGAGGCGTCGCACTCCCACCTCGGAATGCTGGTGTTCCGCGACGAGATCGAGGCTCACCTACGCAAGCAGGCCTACAAGACTCAGAGCAAATCAGAAGACTGAAGCCTCCACATTCCCATCTCCATTCCTTCGTTACGACTGTGAGGTGCGGACATTACAATCGCAGTACAGCAAAGAAATGTTTACACAGATCCTTCTCCATTTCACCGCACAGCTGGAGACAAATGAATGTACACAAACAAGCATCGATCAATGTGAAACTTCAAAACACGGTACGACTTTGCAGTATCAAACACGGCTAACAAGCAGATTTGTAATATTTAACCTGCTGAAGTAGAAATAACGTTTTTTTAAAAACATATTTTAGGCAACAATTCAATATGCATGTCATGCCAGTTTCAAACGCAACACCTGACTTGCAACCAGTTTTCACAAGGGCTGCAACAATTATTATTTTCAAAAATGATTGATCTGCCAATTGTTTTTGTAGCTTAAGAGCATTTTTTTTTTAAATAGGTGGCAATCATTTTTCTGACTGAATTTTGCAGCTTGAACTTTTTTCTTTATTTCTGCTCAGTTACCTTTCGCCGCTTAATGGACCTCAGCCAGTAGTCAGCTGTCTTCCAGTTGATTCATTCATTTAACAAACAAATCAAACACAAGCAGCTGTTGACTCGTGTAGAGTGTGTTTTTTATATCAGAAAGAAAGAACTATTTATTAGCTGTCGACAAAAGGAAAATGAAGAAGTTGCACTTTGACATCACAAGAACCAGTATAGTTCTACTGAGCTTAAAAGCAATTTACAATCTTTGCTTTAACAGCACAGACGAATGCTGTTCTGTTAGCATTATATTTATAGGTGGTTTCAGCCTGGCGGTGTGGTTTAAAAAAAAAAAGAAAAGGGAACTTTTTGTGTGTTTTATGTCACAATGTTCCTTTGCTGATGAGGTTAACAGAGAAGCATGTGGGTTAAATAATGAAAGAGCCAGGTTAAAAGATGTCTAATAGCATGCAGCGCTATCCTATATGTGGACCAGTATTAGTGTCTAAATAACATTAATAAGATTTATGCCCATTGAGAACATTATACCTAATACTGGACTGAATTTGAATGTTACAGCCCCTCCTGTAAATACTTTTCTAATATTCCTTTGTTTCATAGTTGAATACTTTTGTCGTATGTGCCTACATGCTTAAAGTGACATGAAATGTTTTGTATTGCATCTCATAATGAGAGGAGGTTAGAGGCGTGGTGTTGAAGAGTACAGGAGAGCAGCAGAGAAGTGCTTTATCTTCTCTCACTGAAAGCATCTCGTCCTGTACTCTCATTGTCTTTCATTAGGATCTTTTGCTAATATTCCAGCTTTTGTGTAGCTAGTCTTACAGTCCCCTTGCGACCTGTTACATGTACACATTCAAACACAAATGGCTTATGCGAGGAAATGATTTATTTTTTAAAATGTTGGACATTAAATAAAATACAGAAGGCTACAATATCAGCTGCTAAGTCAGTCATTTCTGCTGTAAGTATTTGATTTGAAGATAAATATCTGAAGTAAACTTGCCCAGTTCTATAATTCTACTATAAAAATGTCATATCAAACATGTCAAGTGTCTTTGAATCTACCAGCTCATTCCTAATTTTCATAATTCAAGACAAATGGCATACTACAATTGTTTTCTTCATCTGTATACAATAAACTATGAATAGAAAATAAGAGAAATTAGAAAAATCTAAATCGAGGAAAAATGACATGAAATAAACCAAAGGGAATCGTTTTCAGACTTAGTTGATTAATGTGCAAACTGTTCTGGATGGACCCCCATGGTCTTGTAGATCTCTTTGAGAATCAGCAGTGCTGTGTCTTCAGACGTCCTGGAAAACAACACAAGTGTTATTACAAACTCTGCAAACAGGTACAAGCTACAGCCTGGAGCAGGTAACGTGACGAGGATAAAGCCTGGAGGAAAGTCGGATCTGCGTACCAGTAGCAGAGGTGACTCTGGAGGGCGAACAGGTACTCGTTGAAGCTCTCGATGGGCTTCTCCTGCAGGACGTAGTCGATGCGATTGCCTCCGTTCAGCATCCCCACCTTCACCTGAGGCCCCTCCTCTCGGGGGGGCTCGGGGCTCTCACTGATCTTATGCTCTGTGAGAAACCACACTGAGTTAAACAGCAAACAGAAAAACAAATCACATGATTGACGAGTCACAAAGCAGAGACACTCACCCTCTGCCTCACCCTCTGCCTCACCCTCACCCTCCCGCGCTTGCAGCTCCTGTTGTTCGATCTGATTGGCTACCATGGCCAGCTCAGCCTGGAGCTGGGCGGAGGAAGTGTGAGCGCGTGCAAAATCGTTGAGGGTCTGCCAGGCGGTCCGCAGGGAGCTGATGAAGCCATGCTTCAGGTCCGAGCCCATCCTGGTGAGGCTCTCCTTCAGCTCTGAAACACAAAGGATCCCTTACTAAATCCATCTGCTCTGAAACGTTTTGCTAATGATGTTTGAAGTACTTTTTTATACCAATATATATCAAAGCAAAGACAAGCCTTATTTGACCAATTATAAGATCTATTTGGAGGGGGGAAAAAGAGCCGATCGTCCACATTGTGTTTATTCTTTCTGTTCATTTTGATTAAAAGAAAAGGACATTTAGTTTTGACCTTCAGCTTACACTTTTCTGCAACAGCTAAATATGTACTGTTCCGTCTGTTATTACATTTCATTTTGACATGGCACATCGTAATGTAAGAATAGTGTCTTTGTAGTTCGTCCTAACCAACTCAGCTGGCATAAAGACATGTAACTGTCAGGACAAAGTATTAAGGGTGACCTTTTGATGTTGCTAGAAGCTACAGTGAAGGAACATCTGTGGTGTATTTATCTGGCTCGATGCAAGCAGAGATGAATAACAAGTGAGTGTCGTACCAAGATGAAGCCTCTTCCTCCCTTTGTGATGTGGGACCAGCACAGGCTTAAAGTCCATGTCTGGTAATATCATGGGTTCAATCCTGTAGGCCACCGGGTCCAACTGAAAGAAACACGAGTCATCGATAAAGCCATCAGATAGTAAAGCGTGCAGTGACTCAGCTTCCCTGCTTTCATCACAGCCCTAAACCGTTAAATTCATATTTCATTCAGTCATGTGTGGGCAGGTCAGGTTAAGGTGGAATGACTAGAGCCGCGTTCACACCAGAGTACTTTTCCCACTTTAGTTCCGAAATGTCGCGTTCACACCAAAAAGAGCCGGAACTAAAATTAGTTCATGAGAACCTTTTTACCCCCTTTTCCGTCCCTGCTAGNGGCTCTCTTGTGAGAAAAGAGCTATATTTCTGATTGGCTGGACGGATTGCAAACCACGCCCCGTAAAACTCAAAAAAAGTGTTGTGAAGCCACCATTTGATTAGCTTTATTAGCATTAGCATTAGCCCAGCGTAGAAACGCAGAGAGATTAATTTATGGCAACACAAAATAAAACATGGGAGCGGNAAAGCAGAAGAAGAAGAAGTGACGTCAGCGGCTTCATTTGCCTAATCCTCCCTCAGGGACTTATTCCGGTGTGAACACGATCTGCTCTTTAGTTCATCGGAACTAAAGAGTTCTGATGAACTAAGTTCCGATGAACTAAGTACGGCAAAGTACTTGGTGTGAAAGCGCCTATAAGCCGCGTTCACACCGGAGTACTTTTCCCACTTTAGTTCCGATATAGTTCCGAATTGTCGCGTTCACATCAAAAAGAGCCGGAACTAAAATTAGTTCATGAGAACCTTTTTACCCCCTTTTCCGTCCCTGCTAGCGGCTCTCTTGTGAGAAAAGAGCTATATTTCTGATTGGCTGGACGGATTGCAAATCACGCCCCGTAAAACTCAAAAAAAGTGTTGTGAAGCGACCATTTTATTAGCAATTAGCCCAGCGCAGAAACGCAAAGAGACTAACTTATGGCAACACAAAATAAAACATGGGAGCGGTGGAGATGAGGAGGTGTCGGCGTTCTCGCGATTCACTCGGAAGGCTTCAGTAGCAGCTGCTGGGAGTC